TTGTCGCCGAGGTGAAATTATAGATATCAGAACGGATGAAAGGCAGTCCTTTAATTAAATTAACCATAAAATAGGCGACCAAAGTGATATTTGATTAGTTGACTGCGTACTCTATAGTCCTGACTATGAAAGACTATAGTCCTAACTATGAAAGACTATAGTCCTGACTATGGAAGACTATAGTCCTAACTATGAAAGACTATAGTCCTGACTATGAAAGACTATAGTCGTAACTATGAAAGACTATGGTCCTGACTATGAAAGACTATAGTAAAGACTATGAAAGACTATAGTAAAGACTATGAAAGACTATAGTAAAGACTATGAAGACTATTGTCTAGACCTAATCTATAGAGGGCGAGCCGATCCTTATATATGTGTTATTTCCAACTAAATCTTCATTCCGTTGCTGACCGCCGAACAGAGATGACTAGCAGTTATATGAAACACAGACCATTTGTAGAACTCTTATGTACTTCTCATCCAACTCAACAGCAAGCTCTTCTTAATTCTACATCAGCTGAGCAAATTCGACGCTTGTGTCATTGTATAGAAAATTTCACATACTCTAAAGAAACAAAGGACAAACTCAGACCTTTCGAACAAGATCTAGCTGATTTAGCAGACAGAGATAGAAATTTTAAGACGAAAAAGGAAATTCTTGTTCAGCGGGGAAGCGGCTTTCTGGGATTGGTACTTGGACCACTTTTAGAAGGTCTTGCAGAATTAATATAAAATAAAAAGTATGAAGGACATCTCCTCATTCCAATCATGGATAGCGACAAACGATCATCTCCTGAACAGTGGAGACTTGAAGACATTCTCAAATATCTTGACGTTGATGATGAACACGAAGCCGAAGAAATCCTTCATTCTATTTTAACCTCTACGGGGATTTTGACTTGGAATGGAAAAGGATAAATCGTTTACAGAGGACATAATATACGAGGCACTGACATTGTAGACCTTCTGAAATATTGCGTGACGCCTTATCATCCAGATATTCCCGAACCAACTGGATTGAGCATGTTTATAAAAAGTCTTGCAGAATTG